CATGGATGAACAAGATTCAAGATCAAGTCCTCCAAGTGCTGGAATCCTATTCGGCCATCTCTACACAGTTGACTTCTAACGGCCGCCGAATCTGCATACAACCTCCGTTATTGACCCATGAGTACTGATGAAAGCTCTCGGAGTCCTCTTTCCAATGGATCTAGCCTCATCGCCAAATTCCATCCCAGTCATCCGCAGATGAAGAAACAAGGTGCAGCGTCACCTATCGTGGGCCTTTGGGCTTAGAACTTCGTTTGGCACCCCGGCCCAAGTGGGGCCCATGTGGGGTGCGCCCCAACCTGGTGGAGAACGACCCTAGAGCACCCTTGGTCATCCTTGCACTCCTATAAATAGCTAGGTACCCCTTCAGGGTTTCTTGAGTTTTGTTAGATTAAAGTTTAGCTATTGCTACTTCCTTACAGCGCGCATGTCGGCTAGACCGCCAGTCTGCTTGTTCTTCGGAACCCAAACTTATCAATTATATTCAATTCCTATTTGCAATTCTGATTGCTTTTATCTTGTTCTTGCTTGTTTCTTTGATTTGCTTGTAGGAATAAGGTTGATTTGCATCGGCAAGATCAACAACCTACTGAGAGGTGTGTCGATCGCTAAGGCGCAACGCAACATCTTGTGTGATTGTAGTCTGATCGTCAACGTTTCTCCCGAATCGTAGCTATTTCAACTCACCGAAACATCGGGCCAATAACAGCCTTGAGTGTCGAGTGGAACTCAGCGTTTTTCAAGTGGTATCAGAGGTTTCGTTGCTCGGTGAGTTTTTATCTACCTATATCCACAAAAAAAGGCATAAAAAAGTTGCACCCATCACCTAGCCATATTTGTGCCATTGTATTGTTCTTTTCAATTTTTGTTGTTGAGTATTCTGTTGCATTGTTGAGTCGTGTTGCTGGTCTTAGCGTTTAGTCCGTTTAGAGTTTTGAGTTCTTGTGACGTCTACTACCATGTCATCGTCGCCGCCGTGTCTTTGTCGTCATCGGAACTTACGAAAACAGAATCGTCTTTCTGCCAGGGTTCCATTTTTCTAGTTTCCAGAAGTTTATGTCGGTTAGTTTTGGAGTTGTGGAGTTGCATCAGGGCGGTTGTGTGGTTGCTCTTGTTTCTGTTGCGCTCGAGGAAGAAGATCTGTTGATCTGTTTTGTTTTGGAAGTAGTGAAATTTGGTTTTGGAAAGAAATAGTAGATTGGGTCGATTAGATATGTTGTTTCCTTGTATTCCTCGGCTGTGTGCCGTCCAGGCCGAGCGAGTCCGACTCTATCCCCCTCCAATCCACGTAGTACATCCTAACGTTTGAGCGTGTAAAACACCTTGGTGAATTTTTGTTTGGTGTCGGTTTGAAGATCTGTTTGGAAAAACGGAACCGGCATAAATTCAACATTCCATTTTTGTATAATTTTAATTTTGGTTTGGACTTTGACAGTTGAGTCCATGTATTTTTTATATTTATATTTGAGTCCCTGTAACTTTATATTGAGGTCCTTGAGTTTGTTTTTGGTAAAAAAATCAAAAAAAAGAGAGAAAGAAAGGCAAAAAGGTGCATAAAACAGAAGAAAAGAAAAGCCGCACCCAAAAAAAAGAAAAGAAAAAGAAAAGAAAGAAGGAAAAGAGCAAAATCAGTTGTATCTTTGAGTTTGCTTCCATATATTAGAGTGTGTTTGAGTTGTTTCTGGTGCTATCTTGTGGTATCATTTGTATCTAGGCTCGCGTCTCTAGTACGTTCTAGCCTAGGACCAGCACGGTACTTGACTTTGAACGATCATTCAACTTTGCATTCTCTGATTTAAGCATTTGCTATCCCTATGCTAAATATTTAAGCCTACCCAAAACTCCACGGATTTGATTGCAGCCGTACAGCAAGTGTTTGCCAAGGCATCGATATATCCAACCTCAATTGGGGTGTTTGGTTGAGTCGGTGTACGTCACCATCCAGCTTGCATTGGTAAGAACTTGTAAGAGCTTGGTTAAAGGCTTGAGTGCGTGTCACATTGGAGCCTCCACTACCTAGTAGTTAATAGGAACATGCATATTTTGTGTATGTTTCTTGTTTTCTACTAACAATGGCAGAGATACGCAAGATAATTGGGGATAACTGTGCTCAACATCGACATCTTCGTCGAGACATGAGGAGTGATCAACATGACCATTATGAGGTAAGTGGCGATGTTCTAGGTAAGATCAAATCCGCACTGCCTTATTTCGAGGGAAATTATGATCCTCATGCTTACATTATTTGGGAGCTAGCGGTTGATAGAGAATTTCAAAAGCATGACTTGTCTGAGAAACATATGGTTATGTGTGCTACTAGAGTTCTAATTAAAAATGATTTTTCTGATTGGAAACATCTTTGTAGGCGTAATAAAATATCTACAACTCATCGAAAGATCAGACCAATCCTAGCCTTGAGTTTCTTGAGTGGAACTCAGGGTTCATCAGAGACTATATGTATGGAGTCTTTATTTGGTGGATGGATAGGGTGGATGCTGACTTCCAGCATAGAAGCATACCATATGGTGGGTGGGTGGAATATTTTACTAATCCTCTAGTGCAGAGGGAGAGCAATATATTTGGTATTTAAGTGCACAAGATTTGGATAATGAGAATATGAAAAGAATCTAACAAGGGTCACAACCATTTGAGAAAACTCAAAATGATAGCAAGGAGCATATGTATAAGGTTTTATCTTTAAGCTCGACATATGGCTTTGATAGGAAAGGAACATCAGTGAGGAGCATGTAAAGTTATTTTATTTGGTCCTATGGAATATGATTCACAAGCAAGAGGTAAACTTATTTCAGAAATGGTCTTTTTTGAGACGCCAAAGTCGCTGGCGCCGTGGTCTAATGGGACGGCGCCAGCATCTCTGGCACCATCCCCTTGCCATCATGGCGGGCCAACGCTGACGTGGCAAAGGGAGCATGCCAATGATGTTGGTGCCAGCCCCTCTTCCCACACACCACTTTCTTCCTTCCTCTCTAGTATAGAGGAGAGATGTGTAACTTTTTTATTTTTGTTTTTTTATATTTTTTCACACTTAAAGAGCACACAAGAACCAACAATATAAAATTTAAGCTCAAACGGACAAAATATGTGACGTAGAATTTTTCAAAGCTATATTGAAAAGCTTCTTGTCTCTAAAACATAATCTTGCAAACGGAATTTGGAGATTCTAAATTCACTGAACCAAGCGAAGATGGGGAGAATTGGATGTAGCTTTTTCTGTAGATGTCCATGGATATATAATTTACCTGATTCCAAGTCCGTATAAGAAAGTTCTGCCTATATTAAGGAATGACACTCGAATGTAACCAAAAAAAAAAAACTCAACAAACCCTAACTAAGCAGTACTAGTTTAAAAAACTAAAGGGTTTATAGGAATACAGAGATATTAGAGTAAATTGCATCTTGGGCCTGTCTTTATTACCGTAGTTACAACTTGACTAGGTGTAAACCAAACTTTTCACTTTGGGTCTTGTTTCTTTACATGTTAATTTAATTTGGACCCTCTTCTTTCTTCCTCCAAGTCTCTCTCTCCCCTCTCTGTGTATAGCTCAAAGCACGGTAGTGTAGCTCGAGCAGGAGCAACACACAAAGAGGAAAAGCTTGGTTCATATGTAATTGAGGCTGATCATAAGTGCAGAACTCATCTTTGAAATTTCTCCACATTATTGATCAAGCAACTCAACCTTCCAAAGAACTTGAAGGATAGTTTGCATTTCTAATTTTCGACTAGCACATTGGTGAGAAGCTCAAGCTCGACGCTAGTGCCGGATGACTCGTGCTAGCATTGCCTCTGCATACGCTGCCTGCACTCAAGCTCCACCTCCGCGCGCGCTGCCTACACTTGAGCTTGAGCTCAGCTTTGATGGGCGGCTGCGCTGGGATGGCTTGCACTAATCTTCTGCGTGCGCTGCTCCTGATTGAGAAGAGATTTTGAGCCGTACGCAGCAGAGATGGGAGAAATGGAGCTGGAGGAAGAAGAGAGCTCAAATTGAAACATTTTGTAAATATACCCGGCCCAAAGTGAAAAGATTAATTTACCCTGTCTAAGTTGCAACATTGGTAAGAAAAGGTGGCTCAAGATGCAATATACTCTATGATGCAGGGGACGGCGCCAGAGACTCTGACGCCCCAAAAAGGACTATTTCTAGGATAAGTTTTTCTAGGGATCTATTTGTAAAATTAGTTTTTCAAAAATTCAGAACAATAGAGCAATTAGAATCTATGACATGCATGAATATGTAAGTCGATTCATTTCTTTTCTTTTGGAAAATAAGTAGGTAGAAGAAGCTTCAACAATGCACCTTTTGCTTATGCAAGTCCTGTTCTTCAATCTCCTCATCGTTGTTGTCACCAGCACCAGCGGCGACACACTCCTCTTTTGCAAAATAAAAAAGGTAGAATCTCTTCTGTTTTAATCTCATCATATTAGTGATCAGAATGCAACTTTTTTTGTTCAACTTCAACCACCTCAATGTTGGTGTCGCCGGTGCCAGGACACTCCTCATCTTCGTCCATGGAGCCGGCGACCACGAGCACTTCCTCTCCGGCCTCGTCGTCCATGGGGTCAGCAACCCCGTGCACTTCCTTGCCGGCCGCGACGTCCATAGAGTCGGCAACCACGTGCACTTCCTCGCCGGCCACCTCGCCGGCCACGACAACCACATGCCCTTCCTCGCTGGCCTCATCGTCTATATAGTCAACGGTCACGTGCACCTCCTCGCGGACCTCATCATCCATGGAGTTGGTGACCACGAGCACTTCCTCACCGGCCGCGTCCATGGAGTCGGGGACTACGAGCTCTTCCTCGCTCGTCTTTTCCATAGACTCCTAGCCCCTTCATTACTCATCCAGATTCACTAACATCAATATAAATTTGGACATATGTATGGAACAAATACATAGATCCATGTGAAACAAAGGAAGTAGCAACCTTTGCTCACCACTTCATCACAACTTTTACTAGTAAAACCAATTCAGAATAATTATTCGCGTCCAAAAGAAGAAAGAAATTAGTGAAGTACACGATAACGAACATATTGTCCACCAATCTCATAATACAGTTTCTGGCACACTGCTATATTATAGGCACACTAGGCTGTAAGCCTGTAGTTTAATGGGAACCTGTGTAAACTTTTCGACACAACGTTATATGCGCACTCATAGAGTTCTATAATAGAAAAAAGATCAGCAAATGATTATAAAAGAGAAAGTCAAGAAAGAGGCCTTTGTATATTGTTATATCTGTAGATCGTCAAGTGTCAAATCATCGGTTGATAACATTTTTAATTTCTGCAAATAATAACATGTTAACAAGTTCTTGGTACAACAAGCATATTGGAGAGGAGACATGAACAAGAAACTTACAGTGATGAACTGGGGTGGATCATCAAGACTAGAGGAGCCAAGGATAATTTCTCTCTTCAGTTTTGATGATAGCTTGTGAGCAGCACATAACTGTAATAGCCATTGGCATATAATGGTACAGATTGAGAATGTGAGAATTAGATCCTTTCTTAGTTTTACACCATATTCGAATCAGAAAGCATTACAGGTGAAAGAAGAAAGGAAATTCAGATGCTTGAGAAGATACCTCAGATCGAGTAGCACCACCAATAACAAAAACAAATAATCGCTGACCCAACTTTCTGCTATTACTTGATGTGTGCTTCAGTACCGAGTCACTGCAAAAGGCTTATTAGTCATGAGAAAAGTGGTATTATCATTATTATCATAACCCATTATTGCAAATGCACTTCCATGACTATAATATGCGATAGCTTATTGTAAAATGCACGTGGTCTAAATGGAGGAGCTTTCACGATCCACACAAAAGGTTCATAAAAAGTTCATACAAAAGCGAAAGGAATTTGCAGCAAATGTGACAGTTTCATGGCCAAAATACAGCTTTCTTAAAGGTAAAGAACTACTCAATAAGACAACTAAGCAGTAATTGCATTAATTGCATTGATATTTGACATATAAAACTAAATCCGAAATTGATAGTGACCAGTGGTAATTGTGCGGCAGCTTGGGCAATATTTTATGAACTCAAATTTTTAAATAGACTAGAAAAATGTCCGTGCGTTGCAACGGGTGAAATCTATTTTAATCTTATTACTGTTATATGGTTAAGATGAAATTTACTGTGGGAGTTCGCTTGGATATATATTTTTTTAGAAAATTATGAGCGGCAGTTAGGAGTCCGATCGTCTCAAGTTAGCATGTGAGTTTTTTTAAACAGATTTCTTATATGATTCCTTCTGTATTAGCAAAAGTGAACGATCTTAAAAACCGACTCAAATACGGATATGTATTTCCAAAAGCAAACGAATTTAAAAACAGACTCATACACGGATGACGTACCAAAATACCGACAAAAACATCTTCAATTTTTATAATAGTAGAAATGGGGGTATGAGGTCACAAACCTTGAATACCCATCATCAGAGTCTCGAGGCCTGGCCCATGTGCCACCTGTCCTTCTAGATCTCATGGATTGAGCTGGCTGGTGAGCTGGGCTTGTTTGGGTAGATGCACTTGGAATTCCCCGGAAACTAGGACTAGGGTCATTCAAATAGTGATACTCATCTTTTGGTAGCTCACCCTTGCTAAGTTTCTCAATCAACTCCTGCAATAAAAAGGCAAGAAACATATTCATGTAAATGCAAAAACAAAACTTCCTAAAAGAAAGTAAATTACAGCAAAGCACATATCATTTGCTACAACTTTAACTGCGCATTTCAGAGAATTGCAACAATAGTGTATAATTTTATCAGAAAGCTACAACTTTATATGTCTTCCATACACAAATGAAATATTCATGTAGTAATAAGTTGGGCCCACATGTCATACACATATGGGAAAATTGCAGTTATTTGATAAAATCCACTGCTAAAGTTGCAATTTATAAAATAGCCGGTTAAAGTTGTAGCAAAGTGATAGTCTCGACCAAATAATTGCAGTTTTCTGAAATTTAATCCTAAAGAAATGATAGCTGCAGCAATGGAAGGACAAAAATATATTTCCATTGTATGATAACTTTACAGTTGCACCTTGCCGGTATTAATATCTGCTAACATAATAGCAAAACAAATGAAAGCTTCAATACTACTAACTAACATCAGGGCCACTTATTAATTTTGCCAGCACAAACTGTCAAATCATAACAGAACTAGCTTTGCTTTTCTCAATAACTGAAAGTGAAGGACTATCTAAAGAAAAAAGGAACAACAGATATGCGTCATACTGATTCTCTACTAGTACATGTCTTACTGTAAGTTTTATATAAACTAATAAAAGCCATATCCACAGAATGAGTTAGCTCAAATACTTAATAAGAGGCTGCCTCAGTGTTCCACCCTCAATGATTTGCAATAATTTAAAAGGCAAAAATTTCATCCTCTTTCACACTACCAATGCCAACTTTTGGCATAGAAGGTTGCCATTCTGTAACCATTTGCCATGTGACCTTAAGAAAATAAAAAATCAGTTCCTACTGAGAGGAAGATTGAAGTGTTCATGAATATCTTTTCTTTTTTTGTGTTTGAAAGAACAGAAATGATCATTTTGCCAATCTAACTTCTTTCTCCCTAAAGGAAACATAATATCCAATTTGGTCCCTCAAGTATGACTCCAGAATAACTAGCCTTTGATAATTGATTTCATCAGAGCCCTCAAAGTTTGCCCATTTGTCCATTAGTTCAAAATGATCCTTGAGAGGTAAAACACCATGCGTGTAAAACCAACTCAACAGATGGCAAACCTTATGACACTAATATAATATCATATCGGGCGCCCACTGCAATGGCCCACAAAGATACAAGGGCATAATGGGATGATCCAATCAATTCTCTTCCCTTTTTCTTTCATTGTGTTGTATTTTTTCACCAATAGTAGCCATTTTCTTCGTTGGCTTTGCCCATTTGGCGCTTTATGCCAATTTGAATGCTAAAAAACAAAGTGACCCCCAGGGGGGAAACTCACAGGACCAATTTGCTGTTCTCTCTAAAATGAATTTATCAGGATTATGAAAAGCTATAATTCAGAGCATCAACAAATGATTAAAATTCAGTTTTCAACGAAATTTTCATTGAATTAAATAGTATATCGGCATTAAAATTTCAAGTTTATGAATATGAAAATTCGAAGTTCCTTTTTTAAAAGAATCTTAAATTTTGGATATTTAAAATACTGAATAGAGAATTTAAATGTCGAAATGTATGGCTTGAATTAAGAAGTACCATAGAATGTGTAGCACGTTGTTTAACTAAATAGCAGGCCTCACATCAAACCCCACAGCACTCCCACCGTGTTACCCTGTGCGCTCTCCCATTCCCAATCCCGTGGTAATTATTTTACTGCGTGATTTAGCCTAACTCTTTATACCCTCTTATCATCTCTTATTCTATTTTTAAGGATCTGCTAACTACACGGCAGTTGAGAGATGGGAATGTGTAGTGAGCGTCATCGGTGGCTTGGATCGGTGCTGGAGCACTTGTCCAGATTGGTCCTGGGGTTGCAGAAGGCGGGGGCCACAGGTAGTGTTGTGAGGAAGGGTCTGTACCTCGGTGTCGGAGAGCAGGCGACGCGGTGGAGTCTAGGCAGATTGAGGCAAAGCAGATTGGGAAGTGGAGGTGCCAATGCGACATGGCAGCCAGGAAGAGGAAGCTGGAGGAAGCAAAGGCATGTCTAGAACCCTTGCTGGTGAACATTGGATCTGGCGCCTCCCAAGCTCGCGGCTGCGGCGGTGGCGACGATAGCCACGACCTCTTCTATTCTCCAACGACGCACCGATGAGCTCCGGTCATCGTCCTCCCCAACGAAACTTAACCTGGCAACTAGTAGGTTGGACTAGCCAACGAGGCGGCGGACAAGCAACAAAGTGAGGTCGTTAGCTCAAAGCATGCTCCATGCCTGCCACTCACGGTGGACAATGGGAACTAGGAAGCAGCTGATCAAATCCGGTGGCCTCAAGGATGGAAGCGGCTAGATTTGGCGCCATCTGTCTACTGGTGTTGCGACCGAATCTCGGTTGTTGTCATTCCTACCTCTCACGGTCATGGCGGATGTGGATCCGCCTTAGTGCTTCTTTGCTGGGAGGGGCGCCCACACCGACATTGAAGGAGATGCCCATCCTCTTCAGCCCCTCCATCATGCATCATCTGCATCAGCTCTAGGGAGCCCTTCCATCCGCCGTGGTGCTCTCGTCTCATCGTCAGTCATCAACTGAATTTTTTTCTTTTTTTTCGTTGTTCAAGACTAATGTGTAATTCTTTGTGTGTGAGTTGTGTAATTGTTTTATGTTCATACAATTTTATAAGTTTTCTACTGATATCATTTCCACTCACAAAAGCAGGACAAAACCAAAAGTAGGGCAAAACGGGAAAAAACAAATATGTGGGAGTAGATTGACTGTTAAACATTATGGAAGAGACTAATATGAGCGGTAGTAATATTTTTACTCTATGAAGAGAACCGGAAAGCAGTCCATGAGCAAAGAACTCTAAGATGAATGGGAGATGAACCTAGCTGTATTATTGGTCAATGAGTAAATAAAAGTAAATCTTTAGCAAAGATGAATTACTTATGAACCAGATGATCGATAAGTAAATTCTTTACACAGGATTAATTAGTTATGAAGCTGGACAATGAGATTAGTAGATAGTCAATGAGTAAATCCTTTACTTAGGACAAAGATGAAAGGACAGGAGATGAGTGGATGGTTGAAAGGACAGGAGATGAGTGGATGAGTAAATCCTTTACTCTGGAGTGTAATGTGAAATGTGGGGAGGAGGTGAGGAACAGAAAAAACTAGAAAAGCGGATGTAATGAGTAAAGGACGGGAAGAAAGGAAAAACGAGGAAACAGAGGGAAGGAGGCACTCGGATGCTTGCTACTCTGCGCACCATTTAGCATGATTGTGAATTAAGATTGATATTTCAAATTCATGTCCAGCAATATTTTTGAAATGCACCAAAGGGCACACTGGTCACTCCACCCTAATTAACTCTCCTCTAGTGACAACAAATGATATATCATATGTACACCCTCCATTTCATATTGTAAGATGTTTTGGTTTTGTCCGAAGTCAAATTTATTTAAGCTTGACCAAAGTTTATAAAGAAACATAGCAATATTTCCAACACCAAACAAATATATTATAAAAATATATTTAGTTATGGTCAAATTTGAATTTGGTGTTGTAGATGTAGCTACATTTTTCTATAAATTTGGTCAAACTTGAATAAGTTTAACTCAGGACAAAACCAAAATATCTTACATTACAGAACAGAGGGAATACTGAAATTTGTCTTGCAGCAAATAGTCACAAAATAGCATTGTCCTATAGAGAAGACTAGTGGCTGGAACAAATTTGCCAAATCTAAGGCATGATTCAAGGGTGGATGGGTATTACTTACCCCTTCAGGTGCTTTAAGATGCATACAATTCTAGTTGGAGACTGCGAGCATAGAACCACTCAAACATATCAGATGATAATAAACAGAAAAGCACAAGTTTGCAGTTGTATATATGTAATGATAATAAAGGTTTGTGTTAAAGCGGTAGCATAATTAATGCACTGGCTGAATCAACAAATTAAGAGTCTGGGAACTTCCTGTTACTCATCATGCAAATTACTATAGCACCAAAGAATGAAGATAAAACTGACAAAAAAAACTAGTGTTGAGGACTTGAGGTCTCTAGACAAACCAGCAGCCAATAAAAATGAAGTGCAACAAAACAGAAAAATTTAGATAAACAGAAAAGAATGCGTAAATAGAAAGGGAAATTTGAGCACAAACAAGGAAAGTATGTAGATTATGTCAAATTATCAACACATCCCAAGGGAAAAGTATTATATGCAAAATGTTAAATCCATGAACATCAAAAAGTTTTCAGCTAGTACATGGAAAAGCTTGTACCTCCAGGATGGGATAAAACCGGGACAACATCCATTTTGATTCTTCTCCTATCCGCTCCTTTCTGATACCATGCCTTTTCTAAAATTTGTAGAGTTAAGTACAATTAAAATTACTATGGTTGAAAAGGTACATGACAACAAAACTAAAAGCCTAATGAAATAACACAAGATACCTTACGTAGATCAAATTTCAGAGTAAAGCCACCTGCCGAAGACTTTTTAGAATCATGCCCACAAAGGCAACGCATATTACTCACTGCAATCATGTCATCAGCAGATAATCCTGCGAGCTGCAAAGAAAATGGGTTCTTGCTGAATCTTGTGGTATTAGTCAGTATATAGTGTAGCAACTGAACCTATAAGCTTTTGCAATAACTATTTCTAATTTATCTACTGTGGAAAAAATGAATGAAACATAGACCTTTGGGGAAAAAAACATAAATCAAGCCCCCCATCAGAACATAGGAAAAATGCAAGTTTAGAATCCTAATTTTTTTCCCTTTGAACCCCTTTGGATCGAAGGAATGGTCCCATGAAATCCTATGAAATTCTTAAGTTCAATCAACGGGAATTTTTGAAGACTTCTAGCATGATGTTTGGACTTCAAGGAAAATTTCCTTACTTTTGGTGCTGCATGCGCTGAATGGAAGAGAAAAAAGTGTGGCAGGTGTGTATAGCCATTTTGGCTTCAAATGAAATTCATGTCAATTGATAGCATACTTATACCTCAACTTATTTAGTACTACCTCCGTTTCAAAATAATTGTAATTTTAGATTGTTTAGCATATATTAAGGTTTGAGAAGAAAGACTATGGTGCCCCTTATTAAATTGTGTATAGGTAAGAGTGGGAGGGTAGTTGAGGTACAATAGGAAAAATTTTGAATGAGAAGTGATTGATGGGACAATTAATACTGTATCGTGACAAATATTTTTGGACAAATTTAAATTCTAGAAATATAATTATCATGGGACGGAGGTAGTAGGAAATACTGATGTACTCCCTCCATACTCGTAAAGGAAGTCGTTTAGGACAGCGACACGGTCTCCAAAACACAATTTTGACTTGTTGTTTCTATAAAAATATTTATTGAAAAGTGATATATGTATACTTTTATGAAAGTATTTTCAAGACAAATCTATACATATAATTTTTGCATTTTCAAACTCAACAACTTGAGAGTTATTCATGATTTATATTTTCAAGGTTTGACTTAAACATTGTCCTAAACGACTTCCTTTATGAGTACGGAGGGAGTATTACCAATCAATAGCACATAATTACATCAAATTTATATCGGTACAGCAGTTTACACTGAAAGACATACATCCATGTGATTAATAAATATATGCCTATCCTATATACTTATGTGACTACTTCAACCTGGGCTTCAACTGAAGATTTGATATTTTGCAGAATGGACCAACTGAAAACATGTAATCAAAATAAATAATAAAAGAACTAGCTGCTACAGGTAGTTCATCTTTTCAATTTTTAATTGTTTCTACAGCTTACATTGTACTTTGGTTTTTTGAAGTCCCCAATGTGTAGATCTCCAGATTGAATTTTTTTTTTTTATGCTTATGAAAGCACAGGCAGAGCTTCCTATGAATATGGTGTCAAATTGCCGGGCTTCAACTTCCTATTTTTCATGCTTAAATTATGTTCTGTTAGGGACAAGGTCAATGTTGCTCTACACAGAGAGTCCACCATTACATGAGACCTAATTTTTGTTCACTGTACATACACAGACCAAGTACCATAAATATTACGTTGCCTTTTAATCAACCCCATTTGTCATGTTGAGATAACACTGATGTTTTCCTAAATTTCTTACGCATGATAGTATTTTCTGCAGCAACGCATAAGCATCATCTAGCAATCAGGCATGCATGAATCTTGAGGTGCTTGTTCAGTGACAAGGCACCATTCAAGTTGGTAAAGTTTTATTTTAAAAATAACTGAGCAGATTTCATGATAGAAAAGTAAAGTTACCTGCATCAACTTTGCACCCTTATCACTTCGAGTTTTATCTGGATTGATGGCAGCATAAACCATAAGCAAACGCAGCTTATTTTCACGACTGATATCCTGCATTAGATCCATGAAAATATTAATATTATATACATACAGGTAAAATATTCCAATAATTTGTCCAAATAGCCATTACCAAATGTGTCCTGAAGAAATTTATGAGTTCTTTTGTCCCAGCATCACCAAACACAAGATCTTGCTCAAGCTGCCCAACATCTTTCAATTGTTGCTCTTTAATTGTGCTATTGAGCTTTCCAGCAATCTGTAGTAAAAAAGAGTAATGGAAACTTAAAAATCTAGTTATTATAGGCTTTGCCATGATTAAAATGTACTTAAAAATAGCCGGTACAGTACATATGGATGGTCACTACTTGCTACCAAACTAAAATGAAGAATAAGCAGGCATTGGTAGATCACATATTGGCAGTGATCATTGCATATTGACAGGCGGACAAGGCAGGGAATGTAACTACTAACCTCAACATGAAGCGCAAGCTTGTCAATTTGATCACTGTACTGCGGAAGAGCTTGAACCATTTTTTGCAACTCTTTGGTTGATAAATCTCCACCATTTCTGACAAATATAACACAAGCATTTACATTACAAAAAGAAAAGGATCCTATCAACAGAAATAATTAATTCAACATAAAACAAATCTTTGAATACCATTAACTATTCAGTATGGCAAGTATACCAAGAAACTAGATGCATCAGATATTTAGGCTGTCATTGTACGTTGCAGAAAGTATTAAATTCTCACTAATTGAAAAACCAAAATAAATGGAACAATCAAGCAAACACCGTGTCTCAATGACAAATAGTAGGAACTTAAAATAATCTTATTGACACAAATGGACTAACCCTTTGGGAATCAGTGCAGTAGTCCATGGTTCAATCTGAATCTGAGCTATATCAAATTTACCCGCTATTCACCTTAGTAATCATCTGTTGACCACTATAAATGTTTCTAAATAACCACCAGAATATTCATGGCTCATCATTTCAATGAATAGATAATAATACATCAAGTCATCAACAAAAGCTAACACACTCTGGCAAACAGCCTAGGCAGGAGCGAAGCTACATTAACTTACCCAGGTGCACGGGACACCCAGTGTTAATCAGTTTCCAGTAGTATCGTTGCATGCCCTAAGAGAGGGACACCCCATGGGCCAAGCATAGGAACACCCGTCCAAGCCAACCAGCTGAGAGCGCAGCCTAGGAATGTCTCCGTTCAGCAGATATCGCTGTTCAGCAAGATAGGCCTGGGCAAGGATCAACTCACTGAGAGGCTGAGACTGCGTAGCTATGCTGTCGTCTGGAGTGTCTTAAGCCTACCAGGTGCTATCGTTTTTGCATTCCTGGTTTCTTTGAATTATCCCATGTTCAATTATCTGTCCTACACAACCAATATTTATTTATGATAAACACTTCTATAACTAAATATCTGTCTGCATATTATTAGAAATAAGATTAAAATGAGCTATGTTTGCTCTCAAAGCCTATAAATGATCACGTTAATCGAAAAAAGCAAAACTATACTGTCAGGTCCTGTTCATTTTTAGCTTTTTGTCTGGATTATTGTCGCAGATTATTTGCTCCACCCTTCTAAAAATAAAGCTTCTCAAAAAAGAAAAAAAAAGGACTAACCCTTTGGGTATAATCCATGTAAATAATCCACACAAAAATCTGTTTCCAACAGGGCCATATGACTACTACAAAAAATTGCCTAAGCAATATTGATGTATAAGTTATAGGGAACACATTGTTTTAGGGACTTAGGAAACATGCCGCATACCAGACACAAGCCATAAGCGAAAAATAGCGCACAATTAGTGATACATATGGGGCACCCGGTTATTTTTGTTCTGGGTTTGCTCCTGAGCCTAGGTTTTGCAATCATTTGCACAAAAAAGTAAGCATAATAATAAATGCAATAATGCATTTAATATAAATTCCAACATATGTTGTTGTAATAGTTGCAGACCACGGTCAGTTAGTATTCCATTCATCCCCCTAATTTGTGACAATTACATTTATTGAACAAACCTTGCTTGATGTAGTTGAGCAGCTTTGTTTTTTGATACAAAATTGGTCATCTTCTCATGCAATCTTTCACTAGCCTGCAATATTGACTCCATGATGCATTAATGAAGCATATAGATAATGTTTGGAGACAATGGTGACAGTCTCACATTGGCTATATGTACATGCCGAAGCTCAAGCCATATTGGATCATGATCCTCCAACAAAACCTCCTTGTTCTCAGTGCCTGAACCAGACTTGCTTGGGACCTGTTGTTTCATGGTCAGCATTCAAGAGCACAACAGAACTGAAAATTGGTAAACAAGCTACTACAAATGAAGATTTTGACATGCTCACCTGTTGTACATACTTGTTGCCATCCATGCAGAGTAGATCATGACACATGGCATCATAGGTCCATTCGTGAATAATTGGTGCGATCTGAAAACATTAAGGAAACATGAGAACAAATCATTGCTTCATTCAATGTGGTAGTCAGTCAAACTAAAACACTAAAAAAGGGAAAATTGCAAAAATCACCCCAGAAATGACTTGAAGTTTGACATTCCACCTCATACCTGATCTATTGATCGGTCTACGATAAGTAATTCACATGTTTCAGTCTGAGGGAATTCAGGTATCATAGCCTTAAATCTTGCAAGGCAATTCCACACACCAGCAGCAAGCTTTGTGGGTGCCAAATCTCGTAGTGTTGTCAAAGTAGAAGCATCAATCGTCCTGGCAACACGATAGTGCACACGAGGAAATTCCTAAAATAATTGAAAGCAAACAACTTAAGTAAAATGTATGGCACAAAGAAGTTTTTTTAAGCCAAAAGTTTCTTAAGAAAATAGACACCCAAACAAATATTAGCAAAACACAACAAAATAAAATTTGAATGACTCGATAAGTCGTCAAATAGTTCTTTTACTTTTTTAGTAATATTTTTAATGGAAAATTGTAAGTATCGGGTTTCAAATTCTTTTGCTAAAATAGCACTCACTCAGCACGCCATATACCCAAGCAGAATGCCGACTAGCCCTGTCGACACGTGGCGTGCTGAAAAGGTGGACATGTGTCCGGAGTGGCCGTCACCGAGACAGGTCCTCTTGGCAAAAACACATGCTGACAGGTCATATCCGCAAACCATTTGCCGATAGGGCTACCTGGTTACCAGCAGGCCGTTGGCCTCCTCCCATGCCAACAGATAGCGAGGCAGCTGCTAGCCTTTCAACACAGTGAATGAATGTGTACCCATGCAGTGCTATTTTGGTAAATTTGTTTGAAACCCTATACTATTTTAGCAATTCTCCTTTTAACAAATAATAGTAAAATATATTTAAAAACTCTCAAATTGGATCCTGTTTTGAGGAATAATTCTTCCATATGTGTATCAGTGGATAATTGGATGGAACAACCTATTTGTTTGATATTTCTTTAAGTTTGTTTCCTCCATTGGCAGAAAAACAACAACCCACCACATCTGCAGTGTGCATGCTTAATTTTTTATAGTTCCAGGCTTGCAGAAGACATGCGTTACAATTACCATATGTTTTTCCTTTCTCATTCTTTAACAGTATATTAATTTCTTACTTATCACCAACTGTTCTTTTCATGTTTAAACCATAAGAACAGGAAAATAAACATTTAGGTATATAGACATGTCAAGTAGCATAAAATGGGAAAACAGTACCCTCATTGATGCGAATACTGTAGCAATACGAGTGGCCATCATGTTAAGGCAAGAGTTATACTTGAGTGAACCTTCTGCATTTTCACTAAATAGCTCTTCTAGGGCCTTGTCATGGTCAGTTGTAAAGCCCTGTATATAACAACAATAGATTCACTGAAGCCAAATACAAAATTTTATGATGAACTAAATCAATAAGGAGAAAGGATTGATTTCTTTATGGTTTAAATTAAGTCATTAATTTTTTTTAATCTAAAGCCAGCAGTATCAAAAGGCTATGCTAATATACCTGGCTATCGATAGCAAAATATTCCAGATTCATCTGCAAGCATAAAGCACAAATGAATTAAGAGGAACAAGTGTAATTGCAATGTTGAAAAATGAGAACATGCAAGGAACAGATAATAGTTAAACTGACCTCACTGAGTGCACCTATGCGTGCTCTAACATTTGAATCTTTTTTTATTTGGGCCACCAACTCTCTTTGTACGGGTGAACTGAAAAACACATAGGCTCTGAAACAGGTAGAGTATCGTGTCAAAACTAAACCATGGTTGTTAAGGTGTCTCCAGTGTTACCAGGAATCAGACAAACCGGTTTAACCGGTTGTTTACCGGTTTGATTGCACAGCGGTCTTTTAATCGAACCAGACCAGTAAGAGCATTGGTTCCGGTTTATTCTGGTCGGACCGGCAGTCCAGTCCGGTTCTAATAACTATGGCGACAATCCTACCACGATCCAATTGATTCTCTCGTGTACTCTCCCCTTCCTGTATTTGCGGATCTATTGCTTCCTGTACTAATTGTCTTCCCCTATGTTCCTTCCCAACGCTTACATCCCCTGCTGTTGTACTCTTCTATGCTCTTCCTCCCCAGGCACCATCTGTTCCTTCCCACACTTACATCCAGTTGTGTACTAGTGTCTAAGCCGTCGCCTCGCCTTATGCCTTGCCGCTAAGGCAGTCTAGGGTCGCCTTAGGTTGCCTTACTGCCTTAACAACCATGAACTAAACTTGGAAGTGATACAACATGCATAAACAAGTAAATGCACAGGACACATACTTCTTATACAGTGGTATTTTCCCTGACATGTCGGACATGAATATGCGAATGCTGCATCAACACCATAATAAATTGGTTAGAGAGTTTGATGGACAATACAACTTTCAATATCAGCAGCAAACCATTGACATATATGACTGGCAGTTATCAATATCAGCAGGAAACCATTGTCTATCTATATTTCCACATATGTTTTTCAGTGGAATTAAATGAAAGCTCCAGCACAAATTAAAGGATAAAAACAAATTTAACACATCATATATAATTATTCACTAACAAATGGAAAAATTCGGTTTTGTGCCTACTATCAATCAGTAAATTATTTCTGTGATCAATCAGTAACAATGGTAATAGGATGTGGTAACTAGTCACACTTACTTTTCCTTAGTTGGTTGAATGAAATAAATTGCATCCATCAATGGTAATGGTTGCCTCCGCATGTATAAGTCCTCAACCACTGCAAAAAAAAAAAAAGAAGCAAATTCTCAAATGTATATAGATAGACAATATTTCTGCGAGGAAAATTTCAAAAAACTAAAGATAAATTATCATAACGATACAGGGGAATTTAAATATTTGCCCCTCCGGAGTGGCATAAAGTTAAATATTCCTTATGCAGTGCCATGTCATGGCTCCAATTCCATGACCAGAGTCGCTGCTTGCCTTTGCTTTACCCTTTTCATTCCTTCCCTCAATCTGGCACGGTAACCCATAATGGTACTGCAAAGGCAAGCAGTGACCTGGTCATGAAAATTAGCTCACCATGCCAGCAGACCTGGGATTCGAAGTGACAACCAATACCAGTGCTTGAATCTTTGTGTGATTGCAGGAATGCAGGTTGGACCCATTTGTCAGATAACTGTGACGGTGAAGCCTAAAACAAGTAGTTATGCAATAATAACATGAGGGCAAACTGTAGTTCTCCGATAGAATTTTTTAAATCTGTAGTTTTTGATGATTTGGGAGAAGTATCTATAGTTTTGTGAACTTACTCTAATTCTGTACGTAATTGACAATTTTAAACTTCTATATTATCATTTCTTTTCAAAGACTAACCAGAACATTCGAAACTATAAGGCCTCCATTTTAAGGAATTCAAAGGCCCCAGGAGCTTTGAAAAATAAATGCTATGACCAACTTGAACTTACAACAGAAATCTGGCTAGTGCCAAGGGTTACAAACATTGCTACAGAGCTTTCAAATCAGAGTTGTAGAACTAGGCAACTAGCATAATATAAAGCTTATTTAAGGATGGCATAAGCTATTTTCATGACATCTCGGGACAAGAAACTACCAATAGATATTCACGTGGCTTCACCAGGACCACTTAAGAGTCCCTAGACTGATAAGCTAAAATGATTTAGGCTGTATGACAAACTTCGCAGTACAATCTTCACCGTGTACCACTATTGTAGGGTCTTAGCCATACTTCATATATTGCCGCATAAATTCAAATGCACTGAAACTGAACAAATGGAGTATGGACACATCAAATATTTCGTAAGGAACGAAACAGTAAAACACTGATGGCTTCTTAATAAGGTAAAAAACATACTTACATGAAACACCTTCTTCCATCACATCTGCCATCTTGCAAGAAAATGACATAATCTTCACCGTAAGTTTGTCCATGATAAGAACCTAGGAGTTACAAAACAATTTTATGCGTATCACATTCTCCCCTTTTGCTGCAAGGTGCTATAAAATTATTTTCTGGCAATATAAAAAACTTGAACGCCATATCTCAAAGAACACCTTCCATGCCGATTTTGAGCTCTTCTTCGTTGATCTCAACATTTCAAATAATAAACCTATATAGGTGCCACAATCATAAACAAATAAAACAGTCAGATAGTAAAACGGCAGGGATGTCAACAAGAACCAAAGAACACAGTAAAGAACATGTTTAATCTGTAGCATGTTGTATGTATGTTCCTCAGTTCACTTGCACTATGACTTTCAAGTGCCTTGCTTTTGTTATTTCTAATTACCCAGTCAAACTCAATAGCCATTCCATACAATGAGTTTTTTTGTTATGCTTGAAATTCAGGCTATTTCATGCACAAAAAACAAGAAAAGTCAAATTGTTTCAATGCTGGAGACCATCCTATGCAAAGAGAATCTTTTAAAGGAAAAAATATCTATTATATGATGGTGTTGCAGGTTGTTTGGGGTGATGTAGCATCCTATGTCATGCGTGCACTGATGTCAATAATGATTCACAAAAAGAAAACTATGTTAGATTTTTACTAACGAGATGATGTGGATGCCATGTGTAAAAAGAAAAAAAAATGATATATGCACGATGATACAGATCTAATATTCTCATGATAGCAGTGTCTGCCAGTTTTGATTGGGCCATGTGGTGCCCCTTACTTTCCAAATAAATCACAGAAGGAATGACTAGGAATTAATCTAGAAGAAACCAGAAGGCTCTAAAAATATTTTGAACAAAGGAGCAAATATCTAGCATAGATCAACGAAGCCCACATGCAAGTTGGTTATCCCATAGTACCTATCAATCATAGATTTTATTCCGTCATGGGCATAGGTTTTATGGCATGAATTCCACTCATCGAGCATAAATTTATAAACAAAACCCAATACACCTTTAAAAATATCATCACCTATTTTATCATTTGATAGACGATCCAATTATAACTATACACAACACATGAACACTAAATAATACCCAAGAAAAGATAATTAAGGATTTTTAAAACTAAAGGAAATTAAACTAATTCTATAAAAAATTACAAAAATTATACTTCTTAGTAACACATGGAAACAATTTGCATGTGCTATAACACAAGCGTGCCAAAAAAAACACGCTGATTTTATAATTTTAACTCAAAACATGTTACCAGAAAAATTAATACAGAAAGGACAAATTAATCTATGAAACTAGTGCCAGTTTTAATAGTTCAGAGCTGAAACTAAACAATATTATATTGAAGTTCAGAGGGTAAATAAACCAGAGAAGAAGCTAACTGCTAGCAAGTATAATAGTAGGCTATAAGCTGGCTAAATGCTGAGTTGGAGGAAAGAAGAGAGGAGAGAGGAGAAGCGGGCTGTAAACTTACAGCCGGCTTGGACAAAAGAACCAAGAAACTCCGTGAGAGAGACAAGTGGGCACTGTATTAATTGTGAAGAGCTAACTATTGTATAGGTAGGCTGAGAGAAGGCTATAAAGAACCTTATAGCCAGCAGGTCGGCTGTATTATTAGCATTGCTCAACAGAACGTTGTTCTTGTTTCTACAGCTTTGTGATCTAAATTGGATAAATGAACTCCCCGTTAACTAAATTGGCCCAACACAAATCCCAGTACAGATGAAGTACCTCGTGCTCCCCGTTAATCATTCAATCTCACATTCAAGATATATAAATCGGCATTATACAGCAGGTGCCAACCAATCCCCATTCCCGTCCATCTCCCCCAAAATCAAATACAGCTTTATCCGATGAACGACAATGGAAGGCAAGCGTGGGGGCAGGGCAGGAAGGCACTCACGATCCCGGGTGATCTGGCGGAAGCTCCTGTAGTCGGCGCCGCTGCGCGAGGAGATGACCGAGTCCATCGACATGGCCGCCCGGAGAACCCCGACTGCCTCGAGACCGCCGGTGACGTCGCAGCACGCCGTAGGTTTAGGGCTCGCGGCCGCGCCACCGACTCGGAAGACGCGGAGGCGATTCGGGTGGAGCAGCGGATTCCACTTGCGGAAAATGAGGTCCCCGGAGGCCCCCACTGCCTTGTCACAGCCGGAGATGTCACAGCACGCGTTAGGGGTTAGGGCTCCGCGGCCGCGCCACCGGTTCGGAAGAAGCGGCGGCGATTCGGGCGGAGCAGAGGATTCTGGACTGCGGAGAGGGAGAGCGAGAGAGGGGGACGGAAACGTCGGCAAGAAATCCACCACCGCAAGAGAGGGAGACGGGAGGTGGTAACTGGCTTCCTCCTCCAACGGGATTACAGGAAGCGTGCGAGGCGGGCGGCCGATGGAGCCGTTGGGACTTGGCCGATGGGTTTTGGAGGGGTCTATGGCGGGTGGGGCCAGAAGGGAGGAGTCTCCTGGGGCCCACGCGTCAATGGAGGTGGCTGGTATTACACTTTCTAGAAAGCAGGATGCGTAAGGCCTTCATTAGGGCATCCACAATGCAAGCTACTCCTACTAGAGTGTTCTCCTCGTAGGAAAACTCAGCTCGCAATGGAGAACATCTCTAGATGGGCTCCTTAAAATCTGAAGCAACTAACAGAGACACTCAAACCCACAATAGGTATCCCAGTACACAAAGCCCCATATTTATTTTTCCAACCCTACCCCTAATCTCTCTCTCGCCCCCCCCCCTCTTCTCTTTTTTTCACTGCGCACAGGCGCCTCTCCCTCTCGCCGCCGCTGCCGCTCGCCTCTTCCGTCGCCGGCGGCCGTGAGGACGACGAGGAGGGCCGCCTCTCCCGTCGCCGGCGTTCACCGCCACCCCTCTTTCTCCCTCTCTCTCCCGTCGCCATCGTCGCCATCTACCTCGGCCTCCTCCGTCACGCCATCGTCGCCATCCACCCCAGCACTCTCTCTCCGGCGGCGGCCGCGAGGGCGACGAGGAGGACCACCGCGGTCACCGGAGCTTCGTCGGCAAGGGCGACGAGGAGAGCCGCGGATCTGCCGCCTCCGCCTCGGATCCGCCGCCTCCGCCGCGGATCCGTCGCTGCCGCCGCTCGCCGCTCTCTCCCTCTCTCTCTCGTCGCTGCTATTTCCGGCCGCAGCTCGAGACCTCTGCCGACAGCTAAGGTGAGGCCGGCCGACGGGTGCCACGGCGTGCGGTGGCCCCGTCGTGGATCCGTCGTCGTGGCGCGCGGTCGGCCTCTCTCTTTCTTCGGCGGCCGGCGAGGGTAGAAGGGGAAAAACAGGAGGAGGCAATGGTGTCCTTGGGCTACTCCCTAGCCACGCCACGCCCAGAGCACCTCCTCGCTCGCCCTCCCAGCCGAGGCGCTCGTTGAGCCGCGTCCCTCAGCTGGGGGACGCGCCCCTCTACTTGGGATGGCAAAGCGACGGAGCGGAGACGGCCGTGAGCAGGGACACGCTCGGGGATACGCATTGGTGATGCCCTTAGGCTGTGTTTGCAATCTGGTTCCCAACATGCACAGTACGCACAGAAAATGGAGCGGTCCATTAACACATGATTAATTAAACATTAGCTAATTTTTTAAAAAATAGATTAATATAAATTTTTAAGCAACTTTTATATAGAAACTTTTTACGAAAAACGCACCGTTTAGCACTTTGAAAAGCGTGCGCGGAATATATTTGACTACAGAAGATAAAAAACAGATAATTATGGAATGAATACAAATAATAGTGATTTGAATGAGGACAAAACAATTATGCTCAAAATATCATACCCTAATTATGTTTGCCCAAGCAGCATCATCAGCAATAATCTGCACCGTTGATTATCCCAAGAAGCTCCACTCTGTTTCCTTGCCTCCTTAAGCAACCTATAATCTCGTTTTAACTGCTTCTCCTTATCTTGGATCTGTTGCTTATTCATGGTGACATAGGGATGTCTGTTACGAAATTCTTTGACGACCTTGTTCCATGCTTCACTTGTCCACCCGTTTTGGCACCGGTAATGTCGGTTATTGTGCTCATGAAGTAAATCAACTAAAGCCTTTTCTAGTCCCGGGTTCCATGAAGCTCTTAATTGTTGAGCTATTAGACAAAATTAGATGATAGTAAGTAAATTTTGTAATAATTAACATGAAAGGAAAATACTCCACAAAACCAAGTTAGATACTACCTTTGGGAGAAACCTTCTTCTTCTGTGTGCTACAGCTCTTTGGCGATACCTTCTTTTGTAGATGCCTTTGTTGTTGCTGCAATAGGCTTGCTTTCGGAGATAGTCTTCCAAACATCATAACTGTATTGCAATATTTTATTGAATGAGGAAATACAAACTACATTACTTACTATTAATTGCCCATATCATAAATGTTGATTACATAAATAAATACAAATCATAAAAAACCAAAATATTATCTATACTATTCTTGCTAGCTACAAACATAATCTTCCCACATCTAATACTATTCCCACTGATCATTTGATTGCTAAGAGATGCCACATCATTTTGGTATTCACTGTCACCTTCCGGTAGATCAACAAAATTAGTAGGCTTTATATTATCAGGTGGGTTGTCCAACCAGCCCTCATCACCATTAAGAAATCGGATCATGTTGTGGAATACCGCAGCAGCTGCTGGAATCCACACTTGGTTCTTTATCCGATGGAAAGTACCTACTTTCAAGATGGGAAATCGCTTCTTTAAAACCCCTAGAGCTCTCTCTACATGGTTTCTTAGAATGGAATGTCGATGATTGAATAACTCCTTGTAGTCTCTAGGTCGACGATGACCACATCCAAACTCCTTTAGATGGTACCGAACACCACGATAAGGAGCAATGAACTGTGGTGTGTTGGCATAACTACCAACTAGAGAAAATTTACCATCTAGGACTTGAAAGCCACTATTCATTGCTGATGTAAGGACCCTAGCATCTGTTGCAGATCCCTCCCAACCACATGAGATAAAAGTGAAATTTAGGTCAAAATCACAAGCAACCATCACATTTTGGCTCAAAGTCCCCTTTTTGTTCCTATAAGGAGCTGCCTTCTGTCACACCCTAAAAAATCCTAAATATATAAATTGTTGTTTAATTGGAATTATTAGAATTTATTTTAAAAAGCCTAGAAGAGAAGATCTAATTTTAATTAATAAATTCCAATATAAAATGGGGCCAGATAAAATTTCATTAAATACTTTGCTTAATTCTATAATTCCTAGATTTTTCTGGGATTTATTTGAGCTAAGGAAGTATTTTTAATAAATGGAATTACATTTAATGAATAATTTAAATTGGAAAAGGTTTTAAAAATCCTCTTTTGGCTTTGGGCCGAAAGTCGGCCCAAAACCTTCTCTCTCCCTCTCCCTGGCCCAAGTCGGCCCAGTCCGCCCGTAGTCGCCCGCGCGCGCGCTCGGCCGCTGACAGGTGGGTCCCACCTGTCGGACTCGTCGTCCTCCTCGCGTCGTCGCCCGGCCGGAACCCTAGCTGAGCCGCGCCGCCGTCTCCTTCCAAATTCGCTCGCGCCTTTCCTTCTCCGGTGAAATCAATAGAGGGGAAATGATCTTCGGGATCTCCTCTACCTTTTCTCTTTTGGAATCGTCGGCTAAAATCGTTTGGAAATCCGTGGATTCGAGTTCGATTCGGATCGATCTCTCTCCTCCGAACCCTAGACTTTCCTTCGTGTCGCCGGTCACCGTGGGCCTTCGCCGCCGCCTCCTTGCTCCTATAAAAGGACCCCCAAGCCCGCCGCTAACCGCCGCCACCCTCGTCGTCACCTCTCGTCGCCGGTAGAGCCCTAGCATCGTGTAGCCTAGCGCCGCCGTCGCCGCCACAGCTCTAGCCGTGCGCCGCCGTCGCTCCGGTTGTTGTCGCTGCTCGGGGAGGTCGCCGTCGTGGTCACCAAGCCGTCGCCGATCTCGTCCACCCCTTCGCCGACGCCGTAAGTCGCCGGAGCACCGCCGTCGTCGTCAAGCCGAAGGTTGCCGCCGCTTCTTCCTCGACGTCGTCGCCGTCGGTTGATCTTCCGCCGTTGTTTTGGTCACCGGTGAGTTCGCCGCTTCGCCCTCTACGTGTTAGTGTCCTCCGTTCGCGTCGTCGCGCCGTCGTTCGCCGGCGAGCTTGCCGCCCGAGCCGCCGCCGGTGATGACGTCATCGCCGACGTCATCGTTGTCGTCCGTCGTAGACCGGTTGTAGACCGTTAGATCTTGGCCGTTCGTTGGGGATAGGATCGATCTCGGCCGTTCGTTTCCGTGAGCCGCCGCCGTGCACCCGGTTCACCGCGAACCCTAGCCGCTGACGCAATAATTCTCTTTTCCTTTTCAAAAATAATTCATTATTGCGTCATAATTCAATTAAAATCCATATAAGTGATTTAATCCGATTTAATCTTTAAAAATTCATAACTAATTCATCTCAGCTCGGATTTAGTTGGTTCAAGTCTCTAAATTTTTCTAAAATTGAGATCTACATGTTAAAAATATCCACATGTACTGTTCATGCTTGTTTATGTGCTGTTTTGGTGTTTTTGCTCTTTTCTGTTTAGATTCCGACGTTTCCGGAGAGTCCGTTTTCGCAGGAGAAGAATTTGAGGAGTTCCAAGGCCAGCAAGGCAAGTCACACAGATCCTAAACACAATCCTTTGAGCATGTTGATCCTATATTTAAATTCTCTATTTATTTCAACTGTGCATTTATTTTCGAATGTCACTGGGTGGTGTGAATCTATTCCTTTGTTATGGCCTGTTTGCATTGATTACTTTATTCCTTGATACCTTGGGTTATTATAACTTGACTAGTTGAGCTTTATATATTGGTTCGGCTAGATATTAGATATGATTGCTTAGCCATGCTTAGAAACATTAGCACACTATTGGGATAACTTATGACTCACTATTATTTAATGATGGCTTAATGATAGTTCACGATGGTCAATCGTGATTGGTTAATTAATTACTTGCCAACTAAAACTTGATAATGGTGGGTTGTGAGCACATGGTTTTGAGAGTCGTGCTCATGACAATTAAGGACCGATTCACGAGTTTCGGTTGTGAAACATTAACCGTGCCAACCACAAGCCAGCGTGGGCAACGGCTTTACCTTTTGTATAGCATGGTTCATTGCGGAGCACCAGACTGAGAAGTGGCGGAGATAAGCCCACGGGGGTCGCTGGGGAGTCCATGCCTTGTTTATAAGGGGGTGATTATGATCCAGGAAAGGTGCGCTGTAGTGGATTGTGTTGTGCAAGGGGTACTGTCACAGCTCCTTTCCGAGGTACCGTGGTGGTATTAAGGCACATGGTGACATGTTGTGGGGCTGTGTCTTGTGGGTACAGTGGTACACCTCTGGCCAGAGTAAAACTATTCGAATAGCCGTGCCCGCGGTTATGGGC